ATGCTGTAATCTGAGCCTGGGGATCATATGTTTACTATTAGGATTTATTCATCACATTGTGCTCAGAGAAAAAGGTAGAGCTTTGCAAAATACATTAGCAATATTAAAACTAGAATGATTTAAACCTTCATCTCAAGAGATTAAAAAAAACGAATCTGCAATTAAATCCAAAATTCTAGAGCAATTAATGAATGATTAGTAGTATTGTATGAGAAATTAATATGACTAAAATATAGAAAAGGAATTTCTCTATAAATAGGTACATTTATGAGTAAACAGGTAAATCTCTCATAGTGCTGATTAAGAAAAAAGTCACCAATGACTTCCAGGAAGTGAAAACTGACACCAGAGAGTTAACCAGGTATGAAGATGGCAACGCACAGGGGGCCATGATTACATTTATGTCAGGATTTTTGGAATTTTGCAAGAAATGAATTAATTCCTGAACTGGCAGATTTTTTTAAATTTATTTTTTATTTATACAATAGCTGGGGTATAGGCCAGACGCACGGGAGGGTGAGAGGATTCACCAGAGACAGAGCGGGGAGCAGAACAGGTAGACGGACCGAAATACACTGCTGAGGGGAGCAGCGGGAGAGACAGGAGAGGTCTGCCATGCCATGTGGCTATCTCCAAGGCCGGCCGGGGATTGAACCTGCGCTGCAGAGGCTGCGGACAGCTTCACAGCGTTGCACTCAACCCGCTGCGCCACTGGGGAGGCCCTTGAACTGGAAGATATTTAAGCTAAATTAATCATAAGGTTATTACCCTGAGTGTTCAGAGTTTAGTGCACACTTGAGCCATGGAGGTTGCCTCACCCATGTCCCAGAGATGTTTACTTGGTCACTGTGGGGAGGGCCAGAATCTCTATGTTTAACAACCTTCTGGTATAAAGGTGAGGGAGATGTTCGCTCATATCCCACCTGGCAGAGTGCCACTGCTTTCCATACTGTATTTTATTTAATTCTCACAACAGTCCTATGAGGCATGAACTCTCATAACCATCCTTGACGTACAGAGCAGGAAGCTGAGACTTAGAGAATTTCAGTACCTTGACGATGGCCCCATGGCTGATCAAAAGCAGGACTGAACTTGATGACATTACATTCATTTGGCAATTTCTGTTCTCTAGGCTGCCTGGCTAACCTTTGTGTTCTATTACTGTGTTTTATTTTACTGTAACAGCAAAAAGTGGATCATCAGAATTTGGGTCTACAAAAAAAGTGAAATCTCGTTATTGAATTCAATTAAGGTTTTCGTTGGGGGTGTGTGTGTGTGTGAGTGTGTGTGTGTGAGTGTGTGTGTGTGTGTGTGTGTGTGTGTGTTCTGTCAAACAGTATCAAACAGTATTCATTTAAACCAGACTCTGGGCAATGTTCAATCTCTGAGCTTCATTCTCTTTTCCTCCAGGCTGAACTGATATAATCAGGTCAACAGGGGGAAATGCTGTCATCCTCTTTCCTGTTTGCTGGTTTGCAAGGACCCACCTCCCTATGACGTAGCTTCACACCACTTCTTCTGTGATACGTCGACTTCTGCTCCCAGATGGTAGCATGTGGGGTCTGGCAGGGTCGACAGGACACTCTGGCACCCCCTTCCATGCCACACATAGTTTTTAGGCAATAGAGGCTTCTCATGGCTCGCCGGGCTCTATGAACATCCCTTATGATTCTTTGCTTCCTCCAGATTGCATCATGGTTGTAACCAGGGCCAGGGTCTCATAGTGAAGTGAACTTCTCCACAACCTGACACTGAGCTTGGCCGTAGGACTTCCTGTGGCCACTGGAAAGTCCATGGACATGACGCCTGCAGAGACTTACTTTCGCAAGTCTGGGCTTGCTCTTGTCTTGGGTAACTGCCGGTGTGAGGAGGGTGAGAGACAAGTGGTGCCATCTGCAGCTTAGAACCCATGTCTGCAGTGCTCATCCTATATCACCTGCACCCTAGCAGATCCACCAATGCATGGATGAAGGAAGACATGCTTCCAGATCTGTGCTATTGAGATTCTGTGGTGATGGTAGCACAGCATTATTTTAAAAGGCAATGATGGAAACACCTTGTTTATAAGATTTGTTACCCTCACTACTCTGTCAGCTTAAGAATAATGCCCATATTTTGCTTAATTCTACATTTCCTTAGCTTAGTTTATGCATATCACAGGTCCTCAATGTTTGCTGGGTAAATAATGAACCAGGGAATGACCTACAAGGATATCTGAGGAGAAGTAGGGAGTATGGTTACTATGGCAACCAGGTAAATAATTTAGACTGGGAAACCAGAATTCTGCTTTGGTTCAGGGAAAAGGCTGTACCCAATTTTAGGCTAAAGTAGGCCCCCAGGCAATGCCCGTCCATTCATAAGCAAGTCCACAAGGCCCTGGACAGAACCGAACCCTCTGACTGAATTAACCAGATGGCCAGGTCTGGGGTGATCTTCCCTTTTGTTCCAGAAGGCAATCTCTTGCTTCAGCAGCTAATAGGACATATCCTGTGGGTTCATTCTCAATAGCAACTTCAGGAATTTCCAAGGAGTTGCTTCCTGGTTAGGATGCACCTTCTGCTATTAATGATGACTATGCAACATTTGCTTTTGTGTAACATAAATTCTTTATAAGTAATTATGGTTGTAACACCATACATTAATATTTCCTAAGGTCAGTGCAGGCTAACTTAATTAAATATTACTAAAACATGTGAAGATGATCAAAGTTGGAGGAATTTAAGATGCGAAATGTCTATTTAATATGTACTTTCTTGTGCCATTATTATCTGAAACATAAGTGTGTGTGTGTGCACGTGTATGTGTGTGTTGGGTGCGTGTGTAAGCTTGTGTTTGCTTACTTTTCTCCTATACCATGTGAGATTCTGATTGATAGGAAAGCCAATGGCACAAGATAAAGGAGCTTCTATACAGAAATTCTCCTTTCAAAGCAAAATACTGGAGAGGCTTAGTGACTGTGCATGTTCAAATAAGACGTCTATTTCTTTGTAGGGTACATGTACATTTAAGGGGTCATTTCAATGAATGAAATGTTACCTCTCTAAGCAAATAATTACTATATCATATATTAAATTTGATATATTTAAAGCACAAGTATCACTTTGTATGAAGTTCTGATTATTAAACAGAATAACCTGAAAAAAGCAGGTACGGCCTTGATGATAAGAGAATTTCAGGTCTTCTCTACAGCATAGGTAGAATTCTTTTTTTTCTTTTTTCTTTTTACTGGTGTTTAAAAATCTTGTGCTTGTCACATCATTCTGTCATTTAATTTTGCATTTATCCTGTCCTTAAAAAAATCATATTAAACATTTTCCTTTATATTCTTTGATAGTATCCTAACTTACTCTGATATTATCACTTTAGAAATAAAAATTATAGCAAACCAAGGGAGGGCAGTATCCCTCTGGATGGAAAGCATACCCAACGTGAACACCTTTCAATGGAAAGCAATTCACGCTGAAGGAGCCCCTGCGCCACTTCTATCACAGACTTCATTTATTCACTTTCCCCACGTTTGTCTTCTAGAACTTCACAAGTGTTTGTCAGTAAGAGTCTCTTTCTTTTTAACTCTATTGTGGCTGAGCAGCATACTCTAAGCAGTGTGATTGTGGATGTTCTCGACTTAGCTCAGCTCCCAGAAAACAAATCAAAGATGCAGCACAAGAGTGTGTGTGCACAGAACAGAAACCTAGAGGGGCAGCTAGAGCAAGAGTTGCTGACATGCCTTTGTGGCCAGGTTTTGTATGAATATACGTCCATGATCAGCTTTTTTCAGCTAAGCCACCAACAAAAATAAACCTGTCTAATGGTGTACGACCAGGACGGCTGTAGAGCATCACCGTAATGCCAAGATCACGGCCAGGAGCTCTCTGGGAGACTCTCACCTGCACTGCCCACAGGCCGCTTCTCTACATCTCTCAACCTTTCCAACACTGGCCAGCAAAACCTAGTGACACTGGAAAGCTTCTGCTGCTACACCACCAGATCATTTGGAGGTGATGATGATTAGTGCGGCGTGATTTGGCTCTCACTGCTTTGAGCTGCTTGCTCTTCCAGAACACGCTGCCTGAGGTCAATGAGGCATCGGAGGAGGAGGTTCAATGGGAGGAGAGAGTGGCAACACGCAGCGTGTGCCCTACACTGCCTCAATTTTCCTGTCCACGAGATCTCAGAGAATGTGCATTCCCAGGTGGAGTCCCCTAGTGAGGGAACTGAGTTCTCCCCGGTCCCCGAATTCCTAAGTTGAGGCTCCTAACTCTCAGAAGAGTCTGTAGAGGTGGAGTCTTGGGAATAATTTGAGGTGAGATCGTGACGGCGTGGCCTTGCAACAGGGCTAGTGCCCGTATAGGAAAAGGTGCGAGGACGTCTTTCTCTCTGTCTCTCTTGTCGGGCCACAGCAAGAAGGTGGCTATCTAGGACCCAAAAAGAGGCTTCTCCCGGACACTGCTGGCTCCTTAATCTGGATTTCTAGTCTCTAGAACTGTGAGAAACTAATCCTGCTTGCTCAAGGTTCCCAGCCTTGCGTGTTTTCCTACAGCAGCCCCAGCTAAGACATGGTATCAGTCAAATCCCCTAAATGCAATAGATAAATAACACAATAAGCCAAATTTATTATATAGACTCAAAATCTGTAACAATCTGCAAAGAAGAAAACGTAGGGATCTTGTACCTTCAAAACTTTACATACAGCGAGTTATCTGATTAGCCACTTGTTTAGACAATGGTTATGCCAGAGCAAGGGGCCAGGAGACCATGGACTCCCCAGCATTGGCGCTGGTTAATTTGCCATCTTGAGTAAAGTCTCTGAACATCTCAGACTGGTCAGTAGCGGGATATGCGGGTTCCCAGGGGTGCACACTGAACTTATTATACAATGTTGTAATGCAGCGTTAGTGCAAGAAAGAAAAAAAAGTCCAGTGGGAAGCACTCATGGGGGCCTCTGCAGTTCCAACTCACAGGGCAGTTAGTGCTTCAGACAATGCACGACGCTCGCTCACCGTTCTGTTCCCGCTGCACGCCCGCCGCCAGCAGGTCGGGCTCCCCCAGGCTGATGTCGTTGAGCCGGGTCCCCAGGCACTCCATGCACAGGTGCTTGCACCACTCCTCGGCCTCCAGCTCTGCAAAGGGCCACACGGAACAAGGTCAGGGGAGTCTGCGCGTGCACGGAAGGGATTGCTGCAGCGCCGCCTGCCCAGCAGATCCCCACCACACCTTCCCACTGCTCGACGTTGTAGCTCCACCTGATTTTATAGTATTGCAATATACTTTATCTTACTTAAAGTTATGGTTTGGAGTTATGTGTTGACGATCTAGTATATTTTAGATCCATTGACGTTTCGGAGGCAGGTCACTAAGAAAAATAAATTAAATGTAGATAAAATTATACAGATGAATGGTTGAAAAATGTGAAATGTAAGAGGGGGCTTTTCTAATTTGTCTTGGATTTGCGCAGGTTGAAGGGCTGACCTGCAAGTCCAGGACTTGTAATGGGTCGTAGATGAGCTGGACAATGAACAACTTTTCCTTTTTTAATTTTAATTATATATATATATATATATACACACACACACACACAATACATATACACCAGTTCATATAGTACCAGTTCACCCCTGAACCATCAGTTCACCCAGTTCACCCCTGAACCATCACCACAGTCCCTTGTGCTCTTCTCTCCCCTGTTTTGATTCTTCTACATGCCCCTGAAATGGGACAACTTTTCTTGGAAAAACATCAAGAATGGACCATCTCTACTTCGAGATAACTTTGGCATAAGAAGCTTAAAATATCTTTGTCCTTTAGGAAATTAATTATTGAAAATATAGACCCAATGAGTGCTGTTTATTTTGCCTCCCAATTTCTTTAGATTTGCAAATTTTGGCTTCTGCTTGAAACTTGAGGACACCTTACATGCACGCAGAATCTCGGCGTGGCTAACACTGTCAGCGATGAGAAGGAGGGTGATGCTACTATAAGCCCCACGTGGCCGCGGTGGCTGTGGCCGAGGGGCAGTCCCGGGTCCCCACCATGTCACTGGGCAGCACCAGCACAGGGTGGGGACCGGCTTCAAATGCAGACAATCTAAAAAGGAGGACAGGGCACAAACATTTGGACCACGCCTCAAAATCACTGCACAGAAACCGTATAAAAACTTTGCACTGACACCTGCCCAGAGGAATTTCTGACTTTTCTATGTGGCATCAATCTGTGCTGGAGCAATTTAATAGAGATTTCCTTCACATCTCGTTACTCCCTCTGGACGACACTGTAGCTGTCATCTTGGCATTTTAAACCCTTCCCAATCCACCCCCCAAGAAGGGGTCGGTGACAGGTTTTCTGGGCTCCAGGGATTTGAACACCAACGCCAGGCAGTGAAGCTGCCTTCCTCACATGCCCGCACCAGGGCATCAGAAACAGACGTGAACATGCCATGTCCAGTCAAATCTGTCACTTGGTTTTAATTTTATCAAGACAATAGTGTTAAAAAAATAAAGAAGTCAAGCTTGCAGCGCCCTCAGGAAATCAGCATCATAAAAACAGTAATTCCCGTGCTCCCTTATGAAGGGTGTTTTCTTACAAAAGGTTTGGTCTGGGTGTTGCAGGGACTACCCCGTCTATAGCGTGAGTCGGTCATCAACCTGCATCGGGGAGAAAGCGAGTCAGTGAGCCCTGCCCACCCTCAGGTGCACCCAGGGCCCATTTCTTTGGGATTCTAGAAACCATTCTTTTCCCATCACAAGGTCACAATATTATAACTGGCACTTGCAGAGGCTCATGGTTTTCTAAAACAATTCTTTTATCTTCCAGGGAGGAAACACCAGCCTTCATAGAAAAATTCTATTGGAGCAGAAATAGCACGTACTGAAAGTAAATTTCATTAGGTATTTGTTTTAATTTAGGATGTTTATCAAAGTCTTGAAAACTTTTCTAGAACAAATCCAAAGCTTAAACAAATGTACTTTCTGCTCATCTATAGCTGGTGTTAACAATTCAGCTGAGATAGACAAGAGGACTATATAAATACATATACATAATATATATACACACACACACATATACTATATAAATATATATATATACATGTACTATATACATATATATGTATCTTCCTTTTACATTTTGATGTTTTCAATATTTCTTTGACTCCACAATTTAAAATCGTTAGTAAAATCAGCGTCGCAAACACCTCATCTGTGTGGCTCTCGCCAGTAGTGTTTCTAGGACTCCGCCGCAGAGGGGGGCACCCAACGTGCTGTTTGGGGTAAAACTGAGATGTGAAACATGCCCGCTCACCTCCTGCCAATTTCCCCTTTAGACACCAAGTCAGTGCCGACCCAGAGGTCAGAGAACTGTCCCTCCCTCCTATCAACTCTGTTGTCCTAGGATTTAATGAGGCAAAGGAAGGACCACGAGGCCAAGGGCTGCGGTGAAGCCAGAGGTCTGCCCCTCAGGCAGAACTCGGGGTTCCTTTCTGCCAGGCCCAGAACCCAGGTACCTGGCCCAGCCCAGCACAGAGAGGTTCCCGCTCCCGCAGCAGCTGCAGCCACGCTGTCCTTGCAGCCAGGCTCAGGAATCGCAGCACTTCAGCATTTTGGTAATGCAGTGCCATATAAAAATAGAAATAGCAAAACAATAAAAATAGAGATGGGCACAATAAAGACTGAACTGGGAGCTATTTCAGAAGGAGACAGACAGACAGACACAGAGAGGGTGAGAGAGAAGCAGGAGGAGGGAAGGGAGAGGTGACTTCCCTGCATTTCAGGTATCACCAAGGGTTCATTTTTTTAACAAACGCTCACTATAACTCACTATAAGCCAGGCCTGTGCCAAGAGGTGATATGACAATCACAGTCCGTGTTGTCGATCACCACAGTGCCTCCTGGGGAGTGAGGCACACGTGCTGTGGAGCCTGCAGGCTGGCAGGGGGCCGGGGGCTGTGGCTGAACGGCCCGAGTCTAAACAGGAGCCTGTGAGACAAGCAGGAGAAGGTGAGGGGAGGCGCGTGTGTGCCTCACACTTGTGAGTGTGCAAGCGTGTGTCTGTGTATTTGTGTGTCTGTGTCTGTGGTGAGTGTGCATGAGTGTGTCTGACCTGGATGAGTGTGAGTGTGCATGAGTGTCAACGTGTCAGTGCATGTCACTCTGTGTGTGTCTGCATGAGTGTGTGTGAAAATGCATATGTGAGTAAAATACAAGAAATGGTCAGCAGTCAGCACCCTGCCCTCCTCCCGCCCCAGACAGTTCAGTCCTCTAGCCCCTCAGGCCTCCGTCCAGCAGGCGTTAATAACCTCTGTGCTCTGAATACTTTATCCTCTAGCTCTGCTGCAGAAACTCTGAATGTGTTTATTAGACAAGGATTTTTGCGCTTTACTTTTTTAAAGATTTATTTATTTATTCATACAAGCACTGGGTACAGTCAGAAGGACGGGAGGGTGAGAGGATTCACCAGACAGAGCGGGGAACAGAACAGGCAGACTGACGAAGTACACTGCTGAGGGGAGCAGCGGGCGCGGCAGGAGAATTCTGCGCGCCTTGTGGGACCCTCACCCGGCGGCCGGGGATCGAACTGGCGCTGCAGAGACTGCAGGCAGCTTCGCAGCCCAGCACTCAACCCCTGCGCCACCCGGGAGGCCCTGCTCTTTATTTTTAAATCTGTGTTTGATAGTTACCTCTCACATAATTATAATTATGTTCTTTATTTGTTCTTCCGTATGCAAAATCGATGAATGGACGTTCTTGAAGCTTTTATTGTATGTTCACTTATTTTGTCCCATCATTTTTTAACTAGTGTTTTTCTGTGAATGATGTTCCCTCTCTCACCTTTCCCTTCTGTTTTTTCAAGAACCAAGGAGATTCAATACAAACACAATAATCTGAAATCACTGAATTTTAAAATCTTTGTTTTCCCACAGACTCAGTGCCTTTGTCTTTTGTTTCATCTTTCCAACTTGTGTCTAAGTCCACACACCGTGTGTAAATAATGCCATTTCTTATGGAGCAAGAAAGGCAGAAGAACGTCCTCCACCGTTTCCTGTGTTTTTCCGCTGCCCTACAGAAGCGCTTTTTCATTAAACGAGCGTGTCCTTTTTGGATAACCTGCAACTAACCACACTCAAGGTCTTAATTCAGGCAAACAATTTTTGTCTCTAGAACAGAAATCCAAAGAACATGTTCACTAGGTAGAGGCCTAGTGAAACCGATAAATGTGGTCACTTCCAAAAGAAACTGGAAGATGTTTGGAAATCACAGAAACAGAGAAGAGAGACTAACCTGAAAGTAATGACTGAACTACGAGACCAATGGGCTACCGATTTCAGGGAAAGTAATGATTAGGGATATTGCAAAATAGAAACACAACAGAAGGAGGTGACTCCTTCCCGCCACCCCTGCCTTGCAGAATGCTGGGGGGACTTGCCAGACCCCTTTGAGTTAGAAGAGGTGTTAGCAAGCAGAGCCTTAATAAATATCTGTTGACTAAATGATAAAATCCAACTTTTATTACTTACACTGAATTTAGGCTTTAGGGTAATGATAGGAACGTTAAATGGTGCAAAATGAGCTATCTTTTAAAACAGTGAAAAAAATTTCATCACATACACAGAAAATATGCTATCAGCCAATTCATGTCACTGAATTAAATTCTGCTGGGCCGGTTTTGTTTTAATTTATCATAAGAGGCAGGCAAAATTTATTGTTTTGGGCAAAAATAACAGTTGTATTTAGCACTCACTGGATTTAGCTTTATTAATAGTCTTAGAAAAATGTACATAAAATAATCTGCTTTTGTCTTTAGCAAAACCACTAATTCTTAACTTTTTCTTGTCTCCTATGCAGAAGTGCCGTGATTTGGCAATAACTCTTTTCTCATATTTATTAAAGTCCTCTTCTATACAAGCTTTGCTGAAAAAGGAAGAAAAATCTCTTCTCCCTCTACAGAAAGCATTGCTTAACGAACACAATGACATCACTTATTATCAGCTGGAACTTGTAGAACTGTAGAACCGCTAAACTGGAGGCCATTTTGATTGGTATCAATTTGCTACTTAACTGGTCTTGCTGACATTTTTACAGATTTTACAGATTTTCTTTTTTTCTCACTTGTCCTACAGTAGGAAGAA